CCCCCGCCTCCCGGCCGCAGGCGCCTGGGATCCCCCACCCCCCTCCCGCCCCCCTCCCCTCCGCGGTCCTCCTCGGGCCTCTTTCCTCCGTGGCTCAGCAACTCTGGCAGCTGGGCGGGCCGGTGCGCTTCTAGACCGCAGCGCTAAAATGCGCTCCGCCAATCCAGCAGTTGGTGCAGACACGTGGTGCGGGGGCGCGCTCTGTTGCTGGCTGGGGATGCTAGCCTTGGGAAGGCTTTTCAAAGAGAAACCAGATTTGCTTCTACCCAGTGATTGGCCTGGTCCTAGTTTTCCATAGGGGCTTCATGTGAATCCCCTCTCCAGAGAGATGCGTTGTAATAGCAGAAGTCTTTGGATGGAACGGACCTTGAAGAAGCCGTCCAAGGCAGCCGGTCATTTGAGTGACTGGGGAAACCGGATTAGGAGCTTTCCGCAAAAGCGCTCTAAGATTTAAACTAAGGTAGGTTTGCACGTCTCTTTCCATAATGTCCACTGATGGATCAAGACATGGATCTCTGTTGGTAGAAAGGCGGGGGAGCTGTCGAGAGTTAGGAGTTCTACGACTATTTAACCTAAAACTGGAACACGTGGTCTGACAATGGGCAAAATTAAGTATTTTTAAAGAAGAGTAATCCAGAAGGTATGCGTATACCATCTTAACCAGGAGGTGGACCCGATGGAAAACTTCGAGTGCATCTTTTACAAAATTTTAGTGGCTAAAAAAAAAGAAAAATACAATAGCTATTAAATTAGAAAGGAGGAGCTGCAGATTTTTTACCAGGCAACGTGTACCTTTCTTTGTACTTCTCCCCGACTGAATGGACCTTGTACCATACTTGAGCACAGGGTTCAATCACAGTAACAGCTTAATATGTATTTTTTTTTAATTCCTTGCTTTACTTTTAATTGAAGTTATAAGGCCTGTAAACTTGTGTAATTTTAAAGTGCTTTGAATTTGAAAGAAAATTCAAGTTCCCTGTAAAAATCTTCTAACACTGCAGGTAAAGATTTCTAGATAGAAATTTCAGGCAGAAGAGGTAGACAAGGTCCATTGCTTTGCAGATCTGGTCTCTGTAGCACTGTGTGGTGTATGGGGGACTTGAGGAGGGATTTCTTAATTGATATCATTTGATAGTACATCATTTAAGTTTATTCCCCATTCTCCATGGTCAATATATTAATTCACAATTGTAGAATTAGAACAAATAAGATGAACCAGTTTACTTAGGTAAGGCCTAGCAACCATCATACATTCTTGATCCTTAGCACAATTATTGCATCAAAGGATGGAGGTATCTCCTCTAGCAGCCTAAGAGACTCTCAAGTGGGCTATAGCAGGTTGAACATGTAGTGGGTTCTCAAATATGTTTTAGTACACAGAAATGACCCTTAAAAGGGCAACAGAAATATCACTGAACATTTTGTGTAAGCCAATAAAGCATTATAGCTGAGTTTATTTCAAATTTTGTTTCTATTTATCTTGTTTGAAAAGAACAAGTTTGAGAAAATAAAAATTATGTTGGGGCAGGCAATTAGGGGTGGTGGTATCAATTTATTATTAAACATGGGGTCGGCAGGTGGCATGGTGGTTAAGGGCTCTGGACTCCCACACGGCCAATGACAGTTCAAATCCTGGACATGGTGGCTTGCTTTCTCACTTTCTCTTGCCTTCGTTCTGTCCCTTTCTGGTCAAAATAAAATAAAGTTAAATAAAATAATTCTTTAAAAATATTTTATTATTGGGGGCCAGCAGGTGGTGTGGTGGTTAAGGTGCTGGAATTCCCACATGGGCGACTGTGGTTCAAGTCCTGGACCTGGCAGCTTACTTTCTCACTCTCCCTCTCTCTTCTGGCAAAACTCATGTGGAAAAAAAAAAAATTCTTAAAAAATTTTATTATTAAACATTACTGAGTTTTATAGGAGTAAAACAAAACTTAGATATCCAAAGCGGGAATGTGAAGCAAAATAATTAGTAGGTAGTGAATCAGATAACACATGTAATTTCTTCTTTTTAAAAAATCATCTTCATACTAAAGGACATTATTTGGGTAATGCAAAAGAAGGGGAGAACTTACATGTGTTGTCTGATTCAGTACTTTTAATTACTTTGCCTCATATTCTCACTTTGGATGTCTAATTTTGGTTGGTTTTATACACACACGCACACACACGCAAAATGGTATCTTAAAAGGTTCATGGAAACTGGAATTAAAGTACAAATTTATTTTGGTGTAAAAAATTTGAAAACTGCAGTTTCTCCAAAATATGCATGTCCATGAATTTTTTTGAGACACATCTGTGTGTGTATACATACATGCAAGGACCTGAAAAAGTTAATGGGAAATGCATATCATGAAAAAACTATGCATGGATTTACATTTTTGAAGTCCATTTGTGTGTGTGTGGTATGTGTAGAGTTTAAAAATTAGTAGTGAAGTGAACACTTAACCCAACCTCAGGTTAAGAGTTAGGCATTCCCAGCCATTTAGAAGCACTCCCCCCAACCCCTCCACCACCCTGCTTCTCAGCAGTCACATCCCTTTCCATCCTCCTGCAGATAACAGTCATCCTAACTTTTGTGTTGATCATTCCCTTGCTTTTCCTTTTCATCCACACACTATGTATCTACCTCTGAACATGCCGTTACTTACTTTTGAGAAACTGAGGAGCAAACCTAAGCCCTGCTGGGTAAGGCTGAGTTAGATGAGTATCTAGGTCAGCATCACCTTAAAACAGGCAAGAGGGCTGTGGTCCCAGCCAGATCCTAAAGGGCCCAGCCACAGTGGCATAATGGAAGGGTGCTGCTGTGTGGTTGCTAGGCTGCATAGTAGGCCCAGGATTGGATCTTGGCCCAACCTAAATACCAGGCACAGCGACATGTGCCTGTGTCCTTGCTAACTGGGAGGCTGGTGTTGAAAGATTGTGATATGACAAGACTCTGTTGAGACTACTTCCTCTCTCTCTCCTTCTCTCCCTTCTTCCCTCCTTCCGGCACTTAATCCATTTCTGCTTAAAAAAAAAAAAAAAAAGAAAAAAAGAAAAAAAAAAGCCTAAGGAGACTAATGACCAAGCTCTCTCATAACATGTGCTTTTATAAAGTTTTATTGTCAGAGGGTACATACACTCACCAGAGAGAGAGAGAGAAATAGAAAGCACCACCGTCCCCCAGTGGGGTGTAGTCACACTGCAGTCTCTTTTCCTTCATTTCTCCATCCCATCAGAATTTTGAGCACCCAC